TGTGTGTGAATATATTTATTTGAACGGGTGTGTTTGGCATATAAATGCATTGACACACACACAAACACAGGGCTGAAAATTGTGTGTCCTATTCCATTACCTCACAAAGGTGATTGACTGTGGTTACCATAAAAATAATGTGGCATATGAATATTATAATCATACTGTATATACACCACTACAGCACTTTTTGTAAGGGTTTTGTCTTTGCCATTGAAAAGGGCTCCTGTGTGTGAATATATTTATTTGAACGGGTGTGTTTGGCATATAAATGCATAGACACACACACAAACACAGGGCTGAAAATTGTGTGTCCTATTCCATTACCTCACAAAGGTGATTGACTGGATTGATTTAGATTTTCGTTTTCCAGATAGCAGCGTCTAACATGCATTTCACCGCCGCCCGCCTCCAACAGATTCAACACAACCCACCCACAGATGCCCTCGCATACGCCTCCCAAAACCACAATATCACTGGATGATGATCCCAGTAAATGCACAGCCCTCCACTACAGACTTACATCTATTGCTTTTTACCTGCCAAACCCTAAATCTCCACAAGGAAAGAACCACCCCCACCCTGAAATCCTCCCCCATCCTGCTGAGCTGCTGATGGGGTGAGCGTTCCCCGTTCCTCCCCTTCACAGGACACACTCAACACCATGCTTCATTCATCTTACTTAGACCCGGACTATCACATTTGGCAACCTCTGAATTAAGAGAGATCAGTACTCCACCCGCCCTTCAGGACCCCCACACGTGTCCCCTGCAAATACTAAAGCCATTCGACCTTGACCGAGAGGAGAAGCCCATTCAGAGGAGTCAAACGCAGAGCTTTCTGAAGCGCACCGGCAGAGCCCTGCGTCCCAGCAGGGGCAGACAGCCTGCCCTTTTCTTAATGTGCTTTTTACATTTGATTACCAGGCTTGTAAAAGCTGAGTCTAAACATGGGGACCATGCTGAACATCTGTTAGCCATGCTGGGAGAGTGAACTCACCCCCGTGTCCTCTCATGTCCTCAGGCTGGATTAGAGCACTGGGCACTGGAGTGTAATTGGACATTTTTCAGTATTGTTTGTTCTTCTGTCAACAAAGACATGCGTTAGAAAGCCTGCCTGTCAACACCGAGCACTAGGAACATTATATATACACGTTAATGGCTAAAACCAAAGTACTCAACTGTGTACACCAGGATATACAGGCTTAGATGCTAAATGTTATATAAGTCTGTGCATTACAATACATGCAATGGGTAATTCTCAGTAAATTATACCTTTTATGACACATTTGTATGTTCGTGGCTTACTACTACTGATTAAATTACCCTCAAAATGATCTAATATTAAAATTAATAACTACATTTAAAATGTATTATTAATATTATTATTAATTAGTAGTAGTAATAATAATAAAATATGAAATTTAATAAAAATATGAACTCATAGTAACATACGATTATTAAATAAATCTGAATATGAACTAATTTGCACATCCCAACATATAAAAAAATAAAAACTAAGTTTTTTCTCTTAAATGTGGATTTTATTGATTTTAAAACATTTCTCACTGTCATGATTTTTTTTTCTTATTTAGCAATCTGCATTACAATACATGCAATGGATAATTCTCAGAAATGTACCTTTTATGACACATTTGTGTCTCACTGGCTTACTATAAAAACCCTCAAAATGATATACAATTAAAACGAAGAACCAAAATGTGACTTTCTTTGATAGTAAAACACTGTGCTTTTACGGTCAATGTAGTATTTTCTTTTTCTATTTCTGGATTTTTGGAGAAATGATTCAAGTTTGAATTTTTCTGACACTATATTTGAAGGAGTAACATTATAAAATGTTATACAGTATATAACATTATAAATAATTATTATTTTTTTAATCACGATTTTTCTCTAGCAGAGAAAATACATTTTTCATTACAGCACTTATATTGGCCTTGTCACGTTCAATATTTCCAACATTTTAAAGGAAAAAAAAAAAATCTTATTTTCAATATTTTATGGGGGAAAATCATCTTGGTACTTTTCTGGACCTTGATCGTGGTAGTTACCTTGCTGTCACTAATGATGGGATTACTTTCGATTTCTTGAATACTAGGACTGCAATTTTTTCAACTGTTACCAAAATTTGGGACAATTTTGAAGTTTAATTTCCATAAAAATAGAAGGAATAATAGAATATTATAATAATTCACAAATTAGAAGGTATTCAAAATAAAAAAGTCAGAATGGGTACAGAACTGCAAGTAACAGATTTATCCTAAATTAAGCATTCTGTAGCTACTATTTTATGCACAGGACACTGGAAGGGGCTGCAATCCCTGCCTTGAAGCAATGAGTGACGGAGGGTGGGCGTGGTCAGCTCGGAATGCATTTTCAAATTGAATTTTGCTACACATATCCCACGGCGTCATGATGAAAATGCAATCCTAAGTTTTCTAACTGTTAGTCTAAATGCATTTAGGACAAATAGCATTTAAATGATCATTTTGCTACCATTTCTGCTTGAACACGTTACACATATCAAATCAATTTGTGTTATACATTTTCATTTCGCAACTTATAAAGCGTTCAAACTTGCATGCAATTTACATATTAAGACTACTGTTGAAAATGGCAAATGTAAATTATATAATTTAATATTCATTTTCCTTTTGCACCAAACTTTGCACGTATGGGTAATGGAAAATGTAAATACAGAAATACAATGCCATTTTGCATATTGCATTTTAAATTGAATTTCGCTACCTATATGCTTCCATACTATTTCGTTTGTGACCAAATATTTTTTTACAAAACTTTTCTTTGCCATAAATGATTTTTGCTTACAATAATTTGGGTAACAAGGTTGAGCGATTTAACTTAACAAATGCATTCAACACAATTTGTGTAAAAATTGCGAAAGTGAACTGCAGTCATTTTCGGACATCATGCTGCAGACAGTCTGATGATGATGTCACTTCCTGGGTGTCACAATGGAGTTCAACAGTGCCCGCCCCCTTTTTCACTGTCCTTGGATTCGGAACGTCTTGGTTACGTATGTAACCCTCGTTCCCTGAAGGAGGGAACGGAGACTTCATGTCGGTGACCGACAAATTGGGAATCTCGCCAGAGAGACCAATCCACTTTGAGTGTAAACTAAAAGAGCCAATGCACATTGGCATGCGATTATTGCATCCAGCTGCCGCTGATCACAGCGTGAGTATAAGTAGGCAGCCGGTGCAGCGCATAATCAGGTTTTCTGCTGGTACAGCAGCCGTGGCGACGGGACGTGAAGTCTCCGTTCCCTCCTTCAGGGAACGAGGGTTACAATACGTAACCCATTTTCGGGCATCATGCTGCAGACAGTCTGATGATGATGTCACTTCCTGGGTGTCACAATGGAGTTCAACAGTGCCCGCCCCCTTTTTCACTGTCCTTGGATTCGGAACGTCTTGGTTACGTATTGTAACCCTCGTTCCCTGAAGGAGGGAACGGAGACGTTTCCTTTCAGTCGGTCACTCTCAACATCACGTCGGTGACCGACGAATTGGTAATCCCTACCAAAGCGCCATGGATGCAGCCCCTTCCAGTGTCCTGTGCGAGCCGCCGGGGCCCCTTTTTGGTGTAGGCCGGGGCTCGCAACAAGAAGGCCAGTCACTGTTGTCGTAGCACTACCCACTCAGTAAGACTGGATAACACTGGGAAAACGTACCCGTTCCACTTGGAACAGGAACGTTGCGGAAGCCCCATCCTTCCCGAAGGAGGTTTCGGAAGCAGTTACACATATGAACAACCGTTTAGGTGCATATGGAAGAATAGAGGTGATTGTAACCCTCTTGGAAATGGCATTAGTCTGCAGGGGAAACACAGGCTCCGAGGCTATACCGTGGACTTTACACACATGGGATCCACTTGGGTCTCTACATATGGAACCCAGCCCCCTACCGGTTCTCACGGATTCAGTGAGTGAGGGCCTGGCGCCGGACGTTCTGCCACGGCTGGCTGCCGAGGGGCCAGAGGAGCTCGACAGGGCCTACAGTACGGACTCTCTGGAGCAGTTTTAGCAAGCCGACACTAAACCGGGGCCTCTCAGTGTCTCCACCCTTTTGAGGTGAGAACACAGGAGGATACCGGGTCCACACGAAGGCTATCCGCTTCTTAAGAAGTGACATAAGAAGCGCTGTTTCCGGGTCTAAGCCTCAACTCGCTTCACTTGAGAATACTACCTCAGCAGCCGTTTATGAGCACTGTTTATTAATATTAAACATTTAAGCTAAACGTTTTCAAACTTACGGTGTGCACTACAGTCTCCATTCTCACAGCGTCCCAAACACAAATAATTTTAGATTTATACTTATATTTTCATTGCAGCTCGTGGACAGACCGAAGCGGGGTCTGAGCATGTGGTGCAACACTTGGACCAAGGTGGTTCCAAGGTTGGGCAGAGGGTGCGTGAGTAGGGCCTTTGATGACGCTCTCGAACCACCCGCTGCTGCCCGCTGGCGACAGAGGAGGATGAGTGTGATCCGGCTGTGGACCATTCACAACTCTTCGTGCCCTCGGGATAAAACAAAACAAACGATTCTCCGCTCGGCCCTACCAACCTTACCAAACCAACCAGCTACGAGGTGAATCACATTACAAATTCGAAACAAAAAATATTTGAAAATCTGCAAGATAAAGGTCACTTAACAGCCTTCATTACGGAAACAATACCATGAAGCACTGCAAAAAACAACAACAGATAAATATGGATTGCGCAAATAGAAACAACATTTTACAATGTGGCACTAAAGTTCTTTTGATGTAGTTTGCTTGTTTTGATTCTCTGATTGAAATGTCTTTACAGAATCATGGGTAATGTAGTTTTTCAACAGAAATGCCACTGTTAAACATGATTCTTATTTTTTTTTTTAAAAGTTGAAATAATGTGGGCTGAAGGCTTAAAGAAACACTCCATTAATTAAACACCTCGCAGCTCACAGTAGGTCTGTCTTTAAAAGTTTATAAACTATTGCTAAAAAGCAAATCCTCTATTGAGAGAATAAATGGGATTTTTTTTCTTTTTTTACTTCCTAGACTGTTGCACTCCATATTATGGAATCATTTTAAAATATTAATTAACCTAAAAAAATAACATCTTAATGGATAGATTTGTTTAGAATGAACTGACCCAGAACACAGCACTAAAAGTACATTTTAATAAATTAACGTATTCATGCTTAAATCAAATACAAAAACACAGAACCAAAAAGCATCAAGCAGTCATGTGAGCGTAAGAGTGTTTTCTAAAGGCGAGTCTAAGATCAAGGATCCTGAAATGTACATGGACTGTAAATATTCTTCCTGTCTACAGCAGAAGTAATTCTTTCTACAGCAGAACAGAGTCAGGTCAACCTGACGGAAGGAATAAAAAACAACCAAATATAAAAAATCTGATTTTGAAAAACCCCTGGCGACACTTTACCTGCTCAGCCATAAATATGTCAAAGATAAACATTCATATACATACATGAATAACAAACCTCTATGAACAAGTATGAATGATGACTGATGAAGAGTTTATACATCATGTGAAGAGATTATTATGCCTGCACAATGTCACCAACTTTATTTATGGCTCTTCAGGTAAAGTGTCTCCAAAACTGACAATATCAAATTCACAATGTTTTACAAAAACAAAAGAAAAAAGCCTGTTTGGAACAGAAACCCGATCTGCTGGACTCCACCGCTTTTGACGCGACAGAGCGATGCCATCCCATAATAATGCTGAGGTACGTCACACCCCTCAGCTTCAGCGACCCCCGACAAAAATGGGGAGGAAGACATGCGAGATACAGGAACAGAACCCATCAGACAGGGAGAAGTGTTAGTAAGTACTGGTCCAGAAATGCACTGTAATACAAGAGTCCTTCATCTGGGAGTCCAGACTGAGTCAGAGCAGAAGAGCGCAGCGCAGAGCTGCGGTAAACAGCACAGATGTGCATTCACGACAGCGATGCTAGAAGAGGATGTCTTCATTCTTGATGAGTAACTCCACCACCTGCCTCTGGTAGCGGATGTCGTTCAGAGCCGTCATGGCGTCCAGATCGGGCGCCCGCATCAAAGTCGGGCCGAACACGATGCCCAGATTCTCAGCGTTCATCAGGTTATCCTTCTCGTTCTGAGTTACCCTGCACACACCCACACACACATACACGAGTGTCTTTAACTTTGAACTGTAAAAGTGCTACACTAAAAACCTTTTCATTAGTTCACATCATGTTTGTGAAGGTTGTAAAAACTCTAATAGCTCTAATGGGATATTTCATGTAATTTTACAGTACTGTTAAATGTACAGATTTTGGAAGTAAAATGCAGTCATTTTGTAATTTACAGCGAAAAACCGTAAACTGACACTCCCACACTACATTTAATGGTATTTCGTTGAAATATTATTTCTTGTTATCAGTTATGTACAATAGGGTCTTATTAATGTGTTTGCATTATTTTAGTGGCGTGTGTTTCCATGATGGTGTATTTACACGCACGACACTGTGCAGCTATTATATATTAGTACTTACCTACTCTTGATGAAATGATTGTGAATTTAACATGTCTCTGATTTACCAGCTTTTCACAAAAAAATTGTTCAGTCTTGCAAAATGTTTTACGGTTAAGTTCCGGCAATCGCAGTTGTTTTTTTATTAAGCATACATTTTTGTTGTTTTTATACCATAAAAATAAACTTTAAAAAATGATTTTATATATATATTATTCAGTGCTGTCAAACGATTAATCGCGATTAATCGCATCCAAAATAAAAGTTTTTGTTTACATAATGTGTGTGTGTACTGTGTATATTTATTATGTATATTAGTACACACATGCATGTATATATTTCAGGAAAATATGTTGTTTATATATTAAATATATTTATATAATATAAATTATACGAATATAAATATATACATGTAAATATTTTCAAAATATATACTGTATGTGTGTGTATTTATATATACATACATTGTGTAAACAAAAACTTTTATTTTGGATGCAATTAATCGCGATTAATCGATTGACAGCACTAATATTTTATATATATATATATATATATATAAATTCTTTTTAAAAGTTTATTTTTATGGTATAAAAACAACAACAAATAATATATATATATATATACACTGTATATACAAACTCGTCCAGACGACTGCATGATGACAGATTTTCATTTGATGTTATTACAGGAGGTCTGATATCGATACGTCTCTCACCTCTTTAAATGTGCCATGAGATATCGCAGGGTTTCGCAGTGAGCGGGAGGCATCTGCTTCAGAGCTTCATGCAGAGCTTCCAAACGCTCATCTGGGTCTGTCAGCTCTGACACAAACAAACAAACAAACAAACAACCGGGTCAAAAACTCTCATCTGTCTCGACACAGATCTGCAGGCAGCAAGACTTCCGGATATCAATACTGGATATCATATGAGCTGCTTTATTTTCCTGTTTACTACATTTGAGGTCTGTAGCTTTCTTTAACCCTGCACCAAAATTTTTGACAATTTTGAAGTTTAAAACTCTGATGTGATTATGTTCAAAGAACAAACATTACATAAACACGAAAACTGTATGTACAATATGTTTAAAAAAACAGTTCGGGCAATTCTGGCATTGGCTCATCCAAGAATGACGCTGCTTTAGATGTCGATCAAAACAAGCCGTCTTTTAAAGCATCAGAGTTTTGCTATGTCAGTATGCATATGATTCATGCTGTTCTGTGTGCACAGCATAGCAAATATCTTATTATTAAATAAAAGGAGGTGAAATATGGGGAAAGAGCCGGAACTGAGTGTCTAATGGAGAAATGTGGAGCGTGTGACTCACTGGCAGCCTCCATGACGCGTGGATATGCGTCATACGTGATGATGGGGATCGGCAGGTCCCTGAAGTAGAGTTTAAGAGCACCTGTGATGACGTTGATGTCTTCATAGACGCTGACGGAGATGTCTGCTTTCTCTCCATCTGAACACATTCCCACACAAACACATTTCACCCTCGGCTCCAGGGAGAGTCAGTCCTCTGCACTCATTCACACAGACAGCGCTCTTGTTTGGCTCCAGGGACCGAGCATGAAGACATTTAGCTAACTTTATCTTATTCTGAGCTTGTGAGAATACTTCTGTGCTGTGATGCTGCATGGTGCAGGTGTGCTAGTGTTCATATGCAATATAACTGCTTCTGCATTCCAGGCTTCAGTGTTATTTCAGGATTATAGAAACACTACCGGTCGAACGTTTGGAGTCATTCAAATTTCTCACGTATATTTCTTTTTTCTCACAAAGGAATAAATTACATTTTATTCATATTTTTAAAATAGAAAACTAATTGTAATATTTTATATTACTGTTTTTACTCTATTTTGATCAAATATATTAGTGCTGTCAAACGATTAATCGCGATCAGTTGCATTCAAAATTAAAGTTTTTGTTTACATAATATATGTGTGTGTGTGCTGTGTATGTTTATTATGTATATATAAATACACACCCATGCATGTATATATTTTGAAAATATTTACACGTATATATTTATATTCATATAATGTATATATAAATATATTTAATATATACATCTAACATTTTTCTTAAATATATACATGCATGGGTGTGTATTTACAAATACATAATATACACAGTACACACATATATTATGTAAATAAAAACGTTTATTTTGAATGTGATTAATCGTTTGACAGCACTAATATAAATGCAGTCTTGATGAGCAAAAACAAAACAAAAAATCTGAATTATTCAAAATTTTGACTGGCAGAGTTTACTATTATAATATTTATTAACATTTTTTAACGTCCCTTTATTTGTATTTATTTTTGATTATATGAAGTGGTTACTTTTATTTTTTTTTATTTTAAATATACATATATTTTTAGTCATTTTAGTACTTCATTTAAATAAAAAAGTTTTCATCTAATATTTATATTTAATTTGATCTGAGCTTTATTTCAATTAACAAAAAGCAAAAATGGAATAAAGTAAAAAACAATATAAAAACCCTGATGGATCAAATAAATAAATAAACAAACAAATAACTGTCTGTATCAGATCTCTACTTCACTGCAGCCGTCACAGCGTCCAGTAGAAACCTGTAAAGAGCACATGATTTCTTTCTCTCTAGCTTGTTCATATCCGGATTGAGTCATTATGAAACAGTAATGCATCTGAATACCAACAGATGGGCGAAAATCCTCCAACAAATGTGCCACTTTAACATTTAAGCAGCTCAGACTATTTCACATTACATAAACCCACAGCTCTATACGCAAGACAAAGAGTGACCTAAAAAAGCAGCGGTGAGCATGTGTATGGGATTCATCAGGATTACACACACAGATACACGTGCAGGCGTGTGTGTGTGTGTAGGAATGTGGGCTTTGTGATGGATCAGTACTGTACACAAACAGAAAAAACACCACTCACCTCTGTCAAACGATAACTTCACATCTTCAATAAAGTCACTGAATCCAGAGACTCGATAGAGACCCTCCGACTTCAAACCTGAGAGACGAGACGGTTGAAGGCGTTATAGAGAACACATAATGCTTCGCTGCGTCTCCAGTGTAATAAAAGCTAAGGTAATAATGTGTAGCACTGTCAAGAGCTCTGAATATTTTGACTGTTACACTAAAAGACTAAAAGGTATCCTTGTGAATACAAGAAACAAAAACATGAAACACAACAAATGAAAAAAATGAAAACCGAAAATAAAATAAATGGGCTGAAGAAAAACTGCAAAAGTCAGGGGTCATAACATTGGCTATCAGTATAATGAAGTTTTTTGTTTATTAGAAAATCTGATCTTGTGAAAGCAAAAATCAAAACACGCAAACAAAAAATATTAAAAACAAACAAACAAAAAAAAGGGCTGAACAATAACAAAAAAAAACAAAACAATATATCAAAACAAACAAATAATAAAAACAAACAAAACAAAACCACAACATAACAAAAAACAAAACGCAACAAAAACACAACAGAAAATATTTATAACATATCACTGACGGTGTAAAACCAAACATTTACACAACATAAAACACTTCTACATCTGCACAGCTGCTCCGTGTAAATCCGAGTCAGCGAGTCACCTCGTGCTTCGATCTCTCGTATGCACATGTCCACCACCATGGGTCGTGTAGCGTTATGAGCCTTGACCAGTGTGGTGAGATCACAGCTGTAAACCTTCTTCACGTGCTTCAGGTATGAAGTTTTTTGTTTATTAGAAAATCTGATCTTGTGAAAGCAAAAATCAAAACACGCAAACAAAAAATATTAAAAAAAAAAAAGAAAAAAGGGCTGAACAATAACAAAAAAACAAAATATATCAAAACAAACAAATAATAAAAACAAACAAAACAAAACCACAACATAACAAAAAACAAAACGCAACAAAAACACAACAGAAAATATTTATAACATATCACTGACGGTGTAAAACCAAACATTTACACAACATAAAACACTTCTACATCTGCACAGCTGCTCCGTGTAAATCCGAGTCAGCGAGTCACCTCGTGCTTCGATCTCTCGTATGCACATGTCCACCACCATGGGTCGTGTAGCGTTATGAGCCTTGACCAGTGTGGTGAGATCACAGCTGTAAACCTTCTTCACGTGCTTCAGGTCCGGCTTGCAGTCGTTGGGCACCACCTTCGAGCACTGCTTATGGACATTCAACCCACAATCTGAGGAACACACACAACACAAACACACTTCAGCTGACCAAACAACTCCATCCCAGGCTTTATTTCATCATTCCTGTCAAACCCATGGCTAAATCAATCAGTAAATCCACTGTGTTCAGTCACACGCAGAAGTATGTTGTGTGTATTATCGATCCTGAGGCGGATGTGCTTCAGTTAAATTAGAGACCCCAGCATGCTGAGCTTTCATTCTGCTTAATCGGTGACCTCTCCTGACCTCTGATCAGTGATGCCAGCGCTTCTGATTGGCTGACGGGGATTTCAATAGTGTCACCCTGGCGATGACAGAACTTGCCAGGAATACAAATGGTGCCTTATAAAATATGCATGAGCAATTTCAGGCACCTAATAGCTTCATAAGCCTCAAAAGTAAATCTCTGAGAACCTGTGAAAAAATGAAATGAACAATAGCTAATTAAAGGGATGGTTACTGTAAGCCAAAAATAAAAAGATTGTGTCATCATTTACACCTCATGTTGTTTCAAGCCTTTATGACTTTCTTCCTTTGTGGAAGATAAATAAAAATATTAAGAAGTAGGGTTGGAAAGGGGTGGAGCATTTCTGGAAACTTTCCAAAAATCCCCAGAAGATTCCAAAAAATCATTTCCTGAGAAGACACGTAATAATCAGCTGTAAATGACTGAATTATTGAAAATGAATGCACACCTGGGTTTGCAATGCATCCTTTGCATGCACGATCCTTTTCAACAATTCAATGGTCCAAAGTCAATTATTCTGCTTAAACCACAGTTACAACATATATACGCAATATAATGCATTTTCTGTTTTTATCATGCATAGGCACAGTTACATTGTTACTTGCCTATGCATGACAAAATTGTGTACCAAAAAAAAAAAATTAATGCACTACAAAGAGTAAAGCTTTATGCCTATGTTATAATTAATTAGGAGCATCCATAACACATTATAAATGCAGGCTTTAGTTAAAGTGTTACCCAAAGGCATTGTAGAAGCAAATATCTCGAGCTAAACTCAGACGTCGTCTTCCATTGTGAGAATGTTTTGAGCGGTTCCTGTATCCTGAAATTCCCTCTCACACTCACTGTGTGACCCAGTGCTGCGACGAGCCCTGAATTTTAATGCGTGTGTGTGTGTGTCTGTGTGTAAAGTGGAGCTGGTTGCGAGCTCTCAGCCCCTCTTCTCATTATAAAGACGTGCCAGCTTTGTTTTCAGTCTCTGCCATGATGGACTGGGCCGAGGGGGAGGGGGAGCGCTTTATCCTCTCATGAGGCAATGTGGCACAACATGCCTGGGCACTGGGGCTGGCATGCTGGCAGACACCCAAAACAATAGCTCGGAGTCTCGCTCTCACAGACGAAAAACAAAAGAAGAAAGCTTGTCAGATCACAACGCTGAATGCAAATCTCTACATCAAATGAGATTTCACTGTCCTAGATTCTGCTGGGATCACAGAATGAGAGAGAGAGAGAGAGAGAGAGAGAGAGAGAGAGAGAGAATGATATGGGTAGAGGTGAGAAAAGGAGGTGGATACAAATAGCGTAAAAAGGGTCTCAGAATAAGGGATTTTGAACAAGCTGCTTTCAAAATAGTTTCATGCATTATTCATGAAGCCAGTTCATGAAAACATATGTGTCGCTCCCATTATCCTATAAATAAATCATTAAAACACAAACAACCAACCACAAAGAAAAAACCTGAATTAAACAGAGATTAGAACTCCTAATATGTATTTTAAAAATCCTGTTTTGCACAGGACAAAAAAATCAATAAAAATTGCATGCATAAAATAAAATGGTATAATCTCAAATTAATGAAAGTGGAGGGATATTCTTTTAAAGTAAAAATAAAAAAATCTCTCAATAAGGAATAAAACAAGTCTTCATCTGTCTGTTATCAACAATGTTTTCTCATTCCAGCACTCAATTGGTTTCTTGCAGATGTAGGCCAGTCTATGCTGCCTCCACAGGCTAATGAGTATTCACATGCACATCAGCCAGCGCAACACACTGACCTATGTGAGCTCCGATCGTGTGTGTGAATAAACACACCATCAACTCTGCACCAGCTTCACAGCTGAGATACAGTGGGTACGGAAAGTATTCAGACCCCCTTAAATTTTTCACTCTTTGTTATATTGCAGCCATTTGCTAAAATCATTTAAGTTCATTTTTTTTCCTCATTAATGTACACACAGCACCCCATATTGACAGAAAAACACAGAATTGTTGACATTTTTGCAGATTTATTAAAAAAGAAAAACTGAAATATCACATGGTCCTAAATATTCAGACCCTTTGCT